CTGGGAGGCATCGGGTGGGTGGCTCTGTGCCGTGCCAGGTGCAGGGTCTGCTAGCTGGGTGCTGGCAGGCTTGCACCTGGCACGGGCACCGTAGCCAGCCCGTGCCCCTTTAAGGGGTCCGGGGCCGGGAGGGGGGCATAGAGTTTCCCTGGTGTTGGCCAGAGTGGCCACCAGGGAAACCTGGGAAGCCTTAGCCTCCCACTAGTTCGAACTAAAGGGCTACACAGCCCTTAGTTCGAACTAGCTAGTTCGAACTAGGCGTTAGTCCTCGTAAAATGAGGTTTACCTAGTTCGAACTAAGCGCTCCGCTAGTTCGATTCAAATTCGAACTAGCGGAGCGCTAGTGTAGCGCATAGGAAAGTTAGTTCGAACTAACGTCCGTTAGTTCGAACTAACTTTCTAGTGTAGACATACCCTAAGACAAAGTCCCAATTATTGGGACTTTCCAGTGTTCCCTGTAAGCTGGGTGTTTGTGCGGCCACATGCTGCCCAGCTGATTAGCCACATGCCCACAGCTAGGTTTTGCTTTTCTATCGGTGGTGCACATTCACATGTGCCTCAGTGCACAGGACAATTTTATTCTGCACATGGATGGAGAAAAAAAATCCACACAAGGTTGAAAATGATTAGGGGGAACATTGGAGCTGTCCCTGTAAAACCAGGACCTCTGGCCATGCTATCCGGCCCCAGTGTGTGGGGGGACAGCTGGCTGGGCAGAAACCTGTCCCTGCGGCTTGTGTCATATAACAGCCTGCAAGCTTCATCAACAAACCAGTTTTCTGGACTCCCTGAGTGTGCACGGCTCTGCTCACTGGCCACTGAGCACCAACAAAGATGGGGAGTGAGGTCCAGGGGTTAGAGTGGGGGAGGGGGGAGGGACTCAGGACTCTGGGGTTCTGTCCCCAGTTTGGGGAGGGGAGTGGGGTTAAAGGGTTGGAGCAGAGCAAGCTGGGAATCAGGACTCCTGGGTTCGATTTCTGACTCGGGGGCGGGGAGGGGAAGGAGAGGGAATGTGTTCTCTGGACTTTGTCCAATGTCTGCTGAAACCCCAGAGCACCACTCACCTCCCTCTGTGTCCTGTGATCCCAACACCGACCGCCCAGCCCCCAGCGCACACACATGTTCGCGCTCAAGCCCCGTTGTTCAGGAGCAGTAAATGCACCAACCGCACGCAGGTCGTGTCTGCAGACCAAATGTGCTTTAATGAGCCGAGAGGCTGTGGAGAGGCCGTTTAGTTCCAGGATTCCCCCGGGGTTTAGGGGCAGGACGAACACATCAGCAGCTGCGGCTGGAACTCCCAGGGCCTGGAAGCTCTTGTCTGCGGGGGACACCCCCCTGAGCGGGCTGCTGGAACGGCTCAGCTCTTCGGACGTCGTCTCCTGGGCCTCACGTGACCTGGGCACGCACCTGCGAGCTA